ATTTTTTCAGGACGGCGCCCCTTGAAGTCCCGATCCTTTCCCCGGGACCTGCTCTTCGTCCCGAGTAGTTTTTGACGGCCCCGAGGCCCGGCGAGGGCCCCCCCAGGGCCGAAAACTGGCAAAAACCTCCCGTCCAGATCTTTTAACGACGCGACCATGTCTGGGGCGCGGACCTCAGACAAATTATGTCTACGCATTTTGCGTTCCTTCCTCGAGCCGGGGGCGGTCCACACCCACCGCACGGCAGCCGAGCCTCCTGGACCCCAGGAGGCGGCCAGGAGAGGCGTCTGAGAGTGGGCCACGCGTGGGGCCCGCCAGGGGCCCAGGTTAACCAGCCTCGAACTTATCCCCACCCCCGAGATGGGCTAGCAAAAAGCGAGGACAATCTTCGGGATGTGTCCTTAGAGACGCAGGGAAGCGTCAAGATCGGCATCGAGGTGAGGTGATGCCAAACACGGTGATAGGGATATGTTTTAAATTGGGAACAGGAATATAGCCACATCCGCCGCCCACTGGCAGACAAGCGCGTTCCACTACCCGCAAAGTAACTGCTCGCAGATGGCCTGGATCCGCCGATACATTACGTCGAGAGGCAACAATGCGTGTGTGTGTGTGTGTTGTGCTCTGTTTCACATTTGATATTGATGATAATATCGCCTCCGCGGGAGCGAGGCCGTGAGTCTGGGCACCGACGCCAGCATCTACACCAGCACCGTCTCAGCCATGCCTTCACCGTCATTGTTGTTGCTGCCGCTGCCGCGTCTCTCTCGAAGGCCCGCCGAGCGACGGCGGGAGTGCGTTTTGCGGAAGCCGCTAATGGAACGCACCCACGGCTCGACTTGAAAAGTAACATACCATAGATTGCAGATACTGTACTAACCTTTCGGCTATCCGCAATTGATGTCTTGGGCTTGCTCTTGGGATCAGCGGTGATTAGTCTTGGGCTTGCTCTTGGAATCAGCGCAGATTGGTCTTGGGCTTTCAATCTCTCATCACGATGTGAGCGCGGCGGTGTGGAGGCGTGAGTTCTACTTATGCTGCGCCGCTCTCGCGTCGACCTACATGGCATCCATATCTCGGAGTTCGACTTCTGTGGTTGTTCGGTTGTGGTCCTTGGCTCTCTCATGCAGGGACCCCCCCCCCCCCAACGCGATCACGGACACAATAGATGCAACCTTGCGAACAGTCTTTCAGCCTAGAGCTTCATTCCATGATCTTCCTCATGCTGCTGTGGACCACGCATTCCAGCATAAGATTACATCACTCACGTCGTGGACGGGTCTCATCGGGGCACCCCTTGCGTTTCGAACGCCAGGGATTCCAGAGGCATCCACTCTTGTGCTCGCTCGACGGATGATGGTGGCTACGCTATGGCATATGTCACAACCTTTACCGTCATCGCATTTTGCTCGGATGATTGAGCACTTGCTTTGAGAATTTTTCCCCGTGGCTTGCGGGTGAACACGCGCATGGTAGCCTACGCTTTAGCAGCATGTACGTGTGCCTCATGACTTCGCACTATATTTCGCACCTACGTCAGTTCTGGGCTTCATGTCGTCGGCCCCGTGGCGTTGCTCAACGGCGTTGTCGCCCTATGTCTGCAGACCTGCAACGTGCCAGCTCATGGCCTGGATGGGCCCGCTTCCTTGAGGTCTTAGAGATATGTGACATCCTCAGCCAACAGCTGCAGTGCATGTTCGGCTCGTCGTCGGCTTCGCCCCGCGCGTCCTCATTCATCTACCAGGTAGGCTCGCGCGCCAGGCGCATTGGACAAGGGCGCGCACATAGAAGCACGGGCGCGCATGCAGGAGGTGTCGCACGAGCACGGGAACACTTTAAGTCTCTCCGGTTGTGTGCATCGGATAGGCCACTAGCTGATCGCGCACGATATCTTGCACTTCTGGGCGCACATTACCAGCGCGCCATTTCCATTATGTTCCTGGAGGTGGCCCCGTCGTTGGCCATAAATGCTGCGGAGTCCTCATGCGCAGCTCGCGCTGCGCCCGAGGCCAACAACACCAGCACATATAACAGCGACTCCATCAGTCTGGGCCCCCTCAGGACTCCTACACGCTCTCAGGCAGGCGAACCCTTAAGGCAACGGAGGTCCCGAACAAACAGGCACCTACATCTCCCTCGGGGCCCCGAAGAGCTTCGCCCTCAAGATCTCTGGCAGCAGGCGCGTGTTCGAGCACTTCGTGAGTTCCATCTTAGACGCACTCGGAAGCAAGAACGGACGCGAGAAGGGGCAACCGTTCTACGTTGGTATTAATACAACGTGCATGCTTTCTTCATGCGACGACATGTTATGCAGACACATCGTTTCGGTCCCATCTCCACCTATGGCCCGCGCTGTGCAATCCTTCCCATGCGCTTCTGTGCATGGAAACCTTCTCAGATCATATGGCAACAAGTGACTGCAGCAAAGAATGGCAGTCCATATTATCGTTACACTTTATAAGGTTTATGCACGGTCTTTCCCTTCTGGCGTGAAAAGTCGATTGCTCAGGCCGCGATCGCATCGCGTCTCACTCTTCGTGGACTCCCACGGCCAGGGGGCACTGACATTCTTGTGGGCCAAGAACAGGATGTGCCAGTAGTACGTCAGTGGATGAAAATGGTCATTGCTCAGGCCTCTTTTGAAGCGTCCTGCTTGGTCACTCTTGGTACGACGTCAGATTCGTACTGCGGTTGCTGCACGTCAAGCGCTTCAAAAACATTGCATGTGCACGTATCAGGATCTCGAGAAGACCCCCGTGGAGCTCCTCCTATCTGTCACTGCCGACGACTTACCAATCGCGTCGCAGCGTTCAGATCTTTTGCGCATCCCTGTTAGCGGTCGACTCCCATGGATTTACAGTGATGACGGAAATCTCTCCTTCAACGCTGACAGTCAGTGTGCTGCGTGGCTTAGCCGTTCAGGTTTGGATGGTGCTTTTCTGCGTGTTCTACTGGCTGTGGCAAGCTCGACGCCGGCGTCAAAGTCGACTTCGATCCGACTTTACAAGTGCAGGCGCTAGGCAGATTGCGCACAGCACTTGGTTCCGCAAAAAAGTTCGTCACGTTCACGGTTGAAGATAAGGATCCGCGCGCGCTCTGGGGGGGCCAGCGTCAGGCACATGCAGATGAGGTGGCTCGGTCTTATGTCACATGCGCATGGTAGATGGCGCGTCCAAATCCTACCACATGCGCACACACTACAATGGTACATATGCACATGTGATTTTAGCGTGCCCAAAAGCTTCCGCCCTCCTAATCAACGGTGTATAAGTCATCGTCACCTACCATATTGCTATCCTACGGTAAAACGGAAGTGCTTCCAGGACACGGGTGAAAACAATATGCCAATGGCCAGGGCGTTCATGTCTACGAAACATATGCAGTTTCTACCGACTTCCAGGACGACGCTTTTATCAGAAGATCTCCAGGGGCATTGTCTTCTTAACCAACCTCATCTTCCCAAGCTGGAGTTTCAGATGTCTCGACTCGGCACTCGAAGAGCTAGATGTTGCTGCCGGACTTCTCGCACCTCCGCACTGTCTCCCAGGCACGCAGCAGCGCGTATGCGTTCGCTGTCGCAGGTGCATGGGCCATCCAGGATTTGTCGTTGCAGACGCGGGTCAGGCGAGCGAGGCGTTGGCGCCTCAAGACATCCGCCTGGCCGCGGACCCCCTGTTTGATCGTGCCGCGCAGAAGCTCGCCGCGCGCACATTGCCTGTTATGCGCACATCCACATCGCAGGTAGTCCTGGGTGGCAAGCTCGGCATGCGGCATTGGGATAGGACGGCTTTCGACTTCCAGAGCGTCAAAAGGGGAATCGAGGGCTTCTTAGGGTTTCGCGACTTCATCCTCTCAGGCCTCGCCCTTGCCCAGCTCTCTGGGATGCCCATTGGTGGGCCTCTTTCGAGCGCAATATTACACATGGTACTATGTTACCTTGAATATTTGCACGGCGAGAACCCCGGGCCCCGTCCGACGACATCCCGAAGAGATCTTGAGGTAGCCACAGGGCGTTATGTTGACGATGCGATTCTGCTCTCTTACCGTGTCTGCCGTGCGTGCCTTTGGCGGCGGATGGTTTAATATATACATATATATATATATATATATATATATATATATATTTAAAAAAAAAACAGTGGTTTAAACAACTTGATCATGGGTTTGAACAGTATGAGACAACGGTCCTCTTCCGATATCTTGATGCGCTCGTGGTTTGGGGCTTCGACGGTCTTCGATACATACCGCAGCGCAAATATGAGGAGTACGCTCTAAGCGGGGACTTGACCAAGCTCAAAAAAACAAAACATGATCCCCTTCCTTGGCCGCCTCAGCCGTCGTGAACTAGGACAGCTTCGTTCCGAGCTTCGAGGGCGTATTCATAATTGGGAGCGGCTTCGACCAGATACCATCGACTATATAATCGTCATATCCATCGACATGGCCTTCATGCATCGTTCAGGATACCCCAGTAAAATCGCTCGTCGTGTTTGGCGCCTGATCTACCCCGAAGGTGAGAAGAACGACCTCGTAAACCGATGCCTCGACTTGGCCCAGCGCACCTGTTCTCATCTCATCCCCTCTGCCGCAGCCATATCGTCTCAGTTCGACCACGTCAGCGGCCTCCTGTACGAGCGTGTACACCTACCTCCCTTCTCTCGAGGATCCCAGAAGATCGGTCATCCATCTGGTGGCAAAACCGGTGCTGCCAAGACCGGTGCTGGAGGTGATTGGTACGGCGGTGGCAAAGGTTACACTCAGTACTACGGCGGCGGCAAAGGCTACGGCGGCAACGGCGGCGGCAACGGCATCTCTTCCATCTCGGTCATTGGAGTGGCATGATGGATGGCATGCGGGCCTTTAGTGAGATGGGTCGTGTCAGCCAGATCATTGCACAGGCCGACAACGGCGCTTGCAACAATCTCACTCAGCAGCAGCAGCAACCCCAGCAACAACAGCCACAACACCAGCATGTCCCAGGGATGGCCTCCGCCAGCCAGCCCGCGCGCGACCTCGCGATCGCTCTCTCGGACGTTATGGGTGGCGCCCAGGGCTCCGACAGCAAGCTGCAGGCGACCATCAAGCGCCTCCATGAGGCGGCGGGCTTGGATACAGGCAATGGCGAACGGTTGGAGGACAATCCAGTAATTAAGAAAATGAAGGCAGAGTTCGCGGAGATGCAGGGACACATCAAGAACCATGGCGATCAGCTCGCCAGCATCCAGCAGTCCGCCTCTACCACATCAGATGATGTAAGTGCGCTTCGTAGCTTGCTCGAGGGCAACTTCGGCGGCCATGGTGGTAAAGGCAGTTGGAATGCTCCTAACGGTAAGGGTCTCGGCAAAGGTCAAGATCACGGTGGTCCTCCGGCAGGTGTGCAGGACGTCCACGAGAACGGGCCCGTCATGTGCAACATGATGACTAAGCAGACGCACGAGACCGCTCTATCGTTCATTGGTGTGTCGAAAGATCGTGCTGATGTATCGTCTTGGGCTCAGACAGTTCCCGAAGGTGGACTTCCCTACTTGGCCTGGTGGACGGAGATCGGCAAGAAGAAGGGGCTCGACCAGTGGCGCCGTAAGCTCAAGTCGCTCGGTGCCAGCGACGCGCAGGTGGACGGCAAAGATTTGGCGGTCCTGGGCACGCTCTTGTTTCAGCTTCTCGACAAGGACGGGGAGTGGGCGGATACCGCCATGCAGCAGGCGCCTCCCGCAGCATGAACACCCCATCCAGACGTGCAGGAGCATGTTGATTCCGGTGCCCAGGTCCAGGCTTTGTCTTCTGTGGAAGCTGCTGTGTCGATGAAGTCTTCATGCCATGAGCTCATGCTGTGTGCACACACGTGTATCCATAGTATTATTCCCAATTCCTTCTCCTCCCTTTCTGGCTTTGTTGTATCTCTCTGCGCGCTCCTCTGCTTATGGTGCGCAGTGCAAGCAGCGATCTTTGTCTTTAATCTCCGAATGTGGCTCACAACTATCTGTGAAGGAGTAAACCACGCTCTCTCACAAGTCCTACCGTCCTTTATTGGACACTGGCTCGGAACGCGGCTTCTGGTTCCCATGTTCCCCTCCTTCCCCAGTGGTCTCGGCACCGACGATAGTAGTTTGTCTCTCGAAGGCCAGGGGAGTGGCCTCGACGTGATAGCAGGCATAACTTTGTGGCCAGGGATGCTTAGTCTCGGTGGCATCCTCCTGGCGCGTGTGACAAGGCTCGCAGCAGGGCCCTTCTTTAGCAGCATAACGTCGCTCGTGGTTCGTTGGCTTGTCTAATTTGGGCCTGCAGGGAGGCCGCGGATCGACACAATTATATGATAGGTCAGACTCCCACCTCTGATTTTGAAGTTTGTGTTTTGCCCGCCCTTCATCCTGTATAGGGAGGCTGTGTGTGTGTTTGTGCTCTTTCTTACATTTGATATTGATTATGATATCGCCCCCGCGAGAGCGAGGCCGTGAGTCTGAGCACCGACGCCAGCATCTACACCAGCACCGTCTCAGCCATGCCTTCACCGTCATTGTTGTTGCTGCCGCTGCCGCGTCTCTCTCGAAGGCCCGCCGAGCGACGGCGGGAGTGCGTTTTGCAGGAGTCGCTTATGGAACGCACCCAGGGCTCGCCTTGAAAAATAACATACCGTAGATTGCAGATGCTGTACTAGCCTTTCGGCTATCCGCAGTTGATGTCTTGGGTTCGCTCTTGGGATCAGCGGTGATTGGTCTTGGGCTTGCTTTTGGAATCAGCACAGATTGGTCTTGGGCTTTCAATCTCTCATCACGGTGTGTGTGTGTGTGAGTGAGTGAGTGAGTGAGTGTGTGTGTGTGTGTGTTTTCCCCACATCCTAAGTGGGGTTCTTGTTTTCTCTGCACACCCTCCGCGCAGGATCTCTCCTCCTCCTCCTCCCTCTCCTCTGCTCCTCTTTGCTTCCTCCTCCGCATCATCATCACCATCACCATCACTCCCCACTCATCATCATCATCATCATCATCATCATCATCATCAACATCATCACCATCAGCATCACCATCACCATCCCGCGATCACTCACCATCATCGGCATCGAACGATCATCATCATCATCACTACTCGCTGACTTGAGGCCTGAATATGGAGGAAATCTCGAGCGGGAGCCTCGTCTGTGAGTGAATTGCCAGGAAGTCTCAGGCGGGAGCCCCCTCCCTATGGGGCCCGCACTTCATGTTTGAATCCGAGCGGGTCATCCGCAACGTGCAACTGTCGTCACTTTTGGGCTCTTGAGACTTGAATATGGAGGAAGTCTCGAGCGGGAGCCTCGTCTGTGAGTGAATTGTGAGGAAGTCTCAGGCGGGAGCCCCCTCCCTATGGGGCCCGCACTTCATGTTTGAATCCGAGCGGGTCATCCGCAACGTGCAACTGTCGTCACTTTTGGGCTCTTGACTGAATATGGGGGACGTCTCGAGCGGGAACCTCGTCTGTGAGTGAATTGCAGGAAGTCTCAGGCGGGAGCCCCCTCCCTATGGGGCCCGCACTTCATGTTTGAATCCGAGCGGGTCATCCGCAACGTGCAACTGTCGTCACTTTTGGGCTCTTGAGACTTGAATATGGAGGAAATCTCGAGCGGGAGCCTCGTCTGTGAATGAATTGCCAGGAAGTCTCAGGCGGGAGCCCCCTCCCTATGGGGCCCGCACTTCATGTTTGAATCCGAGCGGGTCATCCGCAACGTGCAATTGTCGTCACTTTTGGGCTCTTGAGACTTGAATATGGAGGAAGTCTCGAGCGGGAGCCTCGTCTGTGAGTGAATTGCGAGGAAGTCTCAGGCGGGAGCCCCCTCCCTATGGGGCCCGCACTTCATGTTTGAATCCGAGCGGGTCATCCGCAACGTGCAACTGTCGTCACTTTTGGGCTCTTGAGACTTGAATATGGAGGAAGTCTCGAGCGGGAGCCTCGTCTGTGAGTGAATTGTGAGGAAGTCTCAGGCGGGAGCCCCCTCCCTATGGGGCCCGCACTTCATGTTTGAATCCGAGCGGGTCATCCGCAACGTGCAACTGTCGTCACTTTTGGGCTCTTGACATATGAATATGGAGGAGTCTCGAGCGGGAACCTCGTCTGTGAGTGAACTGCGAGGAAGTCTCAGGCGGGAGCCCCCCCTCTATGGGGCCCGCACTTCATGTTTGAATCCGAGCGGGTCATCCGCAACGTGCAACTGTCGTCACTTTTGGGCTCTTGAGACTTGAATATGGAGGAAGTCTCGAGCGGGAGCCTCGTCTGTGAGTGAATTGCGAGGAAGTCTCAGGCGGGAGCCCCCTCCCTATGGGGCCCGCACTTCATGTTTGAATCCGAGCGGGTCATCCGCAACGTGCAACTGTCGTCACTTTTGGGCTCCTGAGACTTGAATATGGAGGAAGTCTCGAGCGGGAACCTCGTCTGTGAGTGAATTGCGAGGAAGTCTCAGGCGGGAGCCCCCTCCTATGGGGCCCGCACTTCATGTTTGAATCCGAGCGGGTCATCCGCAACGTGCAACTGTCGTCACTTTTGGGCTCTTGAAACTTGAATATGGAGGAAGTCTCGAGCGGGAGCCTCGTCTGTGAGTGAATTGCGAGGAAGTCTCAGGCGGGAGCCCCCTCCCTATGGGGCCCGCGCTTCATGTTTGAATCCGAGCGGGTCATCCGCAACGTGTAACTGTCGTCACTTTTGGGCTCTTGAGACTTGAATATGGAGGAAGTCTCGAGCGGGAGCCTCGTCTGTGAGTGAATTGCGAGGAAGTCTCAGGCGGGAGCCCCCTCCCTATGGGGCCCGCACTTCATGTTTGAATCCGAGCGGGTCATCCGCAACGTGCAACTGTCGTCACTTTTGGGCTCTTGAGACTTGAATATGGAGGAAGTCTCGAGCGGGAGCCTCGTCTGTGAGTGAATTGTGAGGAAGTCTCAGGCGGGAGCCCCCTCCCTATGGGGCCCGCACTTCATGTTTGAATCCGAGCGGGTCATCCGCAACGTGCAACTGTCGTCACTTTTGGGCTCTTGAGATATGAATATGGAGGAAGTCTCGAGCGGGAGCCTCGTCTGTGAGTGAATTGTGAGGAAGTCTCAGGCGGGAGCCCCAGGAGGAAGAGGAAAGGGCAAAGGGTAAGCTAAACAGATTCTCATGTGGGGTCCTACCGTCGGAGTAATTTCTGACGTTCGCGAGTGGGTTCTATGCGAACAGTGGAACGCTCTCGGTGAACTGGGCTCCCCCTTCCTGACGCGCTCCGCTCGCTAGGGGCGGCGCTCCTGCACTCGCCGGGGGGGGCCCGGCGCCGCTCCGAGAAATCCACGCGGAGTCGAGAGCTTTTGGACAGCGTGTCGCGGCGGCGGCCCCGGCGCCATGCCCTGCAAGCGGACAGCGTGTTGCTCCGCCCCGCAGGGAGGACAGCTCGGAAAGGCTCGGGGCACAAGAAGCCTGGGGACTGGGAAGCGGACAGCGTGTCGCGCCGAAACGTGGTGGGCCAGAACTGTCGGTAAGAAGCGCTATCCAAAAGGATCCGACGGTATGCTTATGCCGTTCATATGATTCCTCGTATAATGCAATAGTGATACGCAATACAGATAAGTCATATCATTAGTTTTGCTTGCATTAGTAGTAGCATCATCATTCCTATTACTAGTTCCAAAAATTGGTACTATGATCAGTAATAGAATGCGTATTCGTAGTATTAGTTTGAATCACGCTAGCATTACTACTCGTACTGTTTCATGAGTCGAGTATTCCTTCTTAGCGTTAGCATTACCATTTGTATCACTACTGTTGTCCAGGTAGGTGTTAACATCTTTCTGATGCTCATCCTTCCCATCCTGATTTGCATCCTTACAGCTCCTCCTCTGTGTATTCACCTTCCTCGACCAGCCTCGGGACCCGCTCATCCGCCGACCGCCCTCGCCGCGGGGCGCGAGAGCGGCGCCTATCTGCGCCCCGTGCCGCCGCACGAGCTCGCCGCCGAAGTAGGGCAGCGGCCGCGCCTCGCACGCCTCGCAGTCGTACCCCCGGGCGCAGACCTGGCCAAGCGTCGTGCAAGGACGGACCGGGCCCGAGCGCCAGGGAGAGGAGGCGCCGCCTCCTCCTCCTCCTCCTCCGCCTCCTCCTCCTCCTCCTCCTCCTCACCCTCCATTTTGGAGCGTTGCGCGGACTCTGGGTGCAGAGCCTGTAGCGTTCTCCTGGGTCCTCCTCCCCCTTTTCCTGGGGGGAGGGCGAAAGAGAGAGGCAGCAGGGAGGAGATGGACGTGGGGAGTGGAGGGGGCGGGCGGGGGCTGCGAGGAAGGGAGCTGAGAGGGAGACAGGAGGCAGCCCGAGGCCTCCGATCACGAGCAGCGTCTGGCCGAACCCTGTCCCCATTGGCGTGGCCTGGGCCCCACCGACCGCCTCACCCCCCTAGATGGAGATATAGGGTGTTTCCTTTAGGCGTCGTGGGGATCGCGATAAGGGGATGGGGATGGGGATCGGTGAAGCGATACGAAGACTACGAAGTATCCAAGAGCGTTCCACAGCCCAGGTCCTCCTCTTCCTCCTCCTCCTGCTCAAGGCTCCAGAAGGGGTATCTCGAGTGCCCGCACGGCGCTCAACGCGCTCAAGGTAGGCCGTCACGCCGGGTGCTTGGCGAAAGGAGTACCGACCCGCTTCCGAGCATCGTCCCAGACCTTTGGCGTCGTGATCCTGCCACGTGGACCCCCAGAGGTCCGGAGCCCTTGCGTGGGCCAGTTTCGCATCCCGAAGCCTTTGACCCTTGCAAATCTGGGCGCGCCCCGATCAACACGGACTCATGTTCAGTCAACTCCAGTGCCCAAGCGGGAAACGCTGCCCACTCTTGGGTGGGAGTCCTGTCGCCAAGCGCGACAAGACACCGCAGCAGTTTGCATCCCGAGTCGGTTCTACTCCGTCCGGGTGCACGGTGCCCCCAGAAACCGAAACGACGAAGAACCTCCCGTCGTGTCCTTGCCACAACGGGAAGAGGCCTGGATTGCCCTCCTCCTTCCTCTCCCCTCTTCTGTCCTCCTCCTCGTCTCCTCCTCGACTCCTCCTGGGCAGCCTCGCTAGCTTGCCAGACGATGGGAAGGGGCTCCACGACGCCGGAACTGGCCGAGGATAAAGAGGAAGGGGGGGACGACCAAAGGACGAGGAGGAGGAGGACGAGAAACCATCCTCTTCGTTCTGCTCCTCCTGCTCCTGCTCCTGCTCCTGTTCCTGCTCCAGCTCCTGCTCCTGCTCCTGCTCCTGCTCCTGCTCCTGCTCCTGCTCCTGCTGCTCCTCCTCCTCCTCCTCTGGAGCCTCGGACAAGTCACTCCCGCAGCGGACCGCAAGAGCGCCTGACAGGTAATGTATCCCTGGGGGGGGGTCAGTGCACAGGAAACGGACGACCGACAACCTCCTTCGTCGTCGGGTTGATCCCTGCCTTGAGCTGCTTGAGAGCCCTGTGACCCCACGCCCCAGGTCCTGTCGGCGGGCAGCGGGCGGCCAGTCCTTTGGTCTGACCCGTCCCGTACGCGCCGCACACGTTGCAGTAGAACGTGTCACCCGCTACCCACAGTCTGTGGGATTCGTGGGATCTACTCACAATCTTGGGGGCCCCTGGGCATGGAAGACTCGCAATGCGGGCCCGACGGCCCGGCGACACGCCACAGGTCCTACACCCCCAGAGGCCCCCTTCACGATGCGCAAGGTGCCCATTGTCACCCTTCACTAAAACCAAAGAACACATGGGATCCGTCCCCACGCGCTGAGGGGGCGGGCTTTTAGGCTTCCTAAACTTAGCTACATCAGTGAACCAGACGCGGCTCAGTTGATACAAGGTGCCTCCGAGAAGTCGAGTGAGCTGCCTGGCGTGCTCCTCGGGGCCCACTTTAGACGGTCCTGAAGGTGCGGGATCCTGGGATGTTGAACAGCCCCTAACCGAGCAGACTTGTCAGCCATCGCATTTCCAGGACACCACCGATCAGGATACCCTTGATTCCTCAACCAAGCCCGAGAGCGATGGGATGACATCCAAGCCAGGTTGATGTTTCCAGGGCCGATATCCTCAAGCTTCCAGAAAATCAAGCTCCAGATCTCAAAATAAGGCTGGGACGGGTTGCACATGATTTCTGCCCCTTTGTCCAAGCCCTTGACCAAGTTGAGATGGTCAGTTATCACGGTCGCCGCCGTGCCCATGAGGCACAAGCACATGTAAAAGGAATACAGCTCAGCAAGGCCTGCTGATTGGACTGGTCCAGCGACGGGCCCATATGCAACAGCAGATACCTCCTCCTCGGGCCCTGGAGCCAGGGAGACTGCGGCCCATCCTGAACGGGTCCCCCGTTCAATCGTCGGGTCAAGTCCAGAACCGTCAATGAAGATTTCGGCCCCAAGATGTCCTGAGGCAGCGGGTCTCCAAACATATCCAACTTCAGAGCCCTGGAGAGGAGGAGGGAACTCATCACGCCTGCTCGAAGTCACCCCATACTCCGTGAGTGGACAATATCCAGCCTCATGGTAGATGGAGTGCAACTCGCCGAAATCCTGCTCTCGCCGCCCAGCGGCGAGTCCATCGCAAATGTGTAACCGATGCCCTATATAGCCTGATGCTTGCTGACACCATCGGCATGTCGGGCTGAGCTCGTTTCTCTCCTGAAACAACTTCAACTGAGCCCAGGGGCCTCCAGAACAGTGCGCGCCCACTAAATCAGCTTGGATATCCTCTCCTCTCCCTCTCATACTCCGCAACTCGCTGAGAACAGGCTCGAGGTATGGGGTGTTGTCCCAGCCCATGTGTGCCGCTGCTTACTGCTCCTGCTGATGTCTAACAGCGCGGTGTATACATGCCTTGAGCGTGCGAGCCCCCATGCCCTTGAGGTCCACGTGCAGGCCCTGGGTGTCCCTCCAGTGTGCGTAGTCAACTACAGTCCAGCCTAACCTTCTGAGAGTCTGTACTACTGCGCCTGCTGGCCCCGAGACCGATGCCCATCCAAGATGAGCTGCTGCCACTGCCGCACTAAAAACAGTCTGCGCCATGTTATCTGCGATCCACTGCTGGTGCATCGCCACCAGCCAAGTCACGAGCGGAAGGGTGTTAATGAGGTAGGAAGGGTCGAGGTCGGGAGGGTCGGTGAGTAAATATTGCATTGCCCTAGATTTCCCCATCGCCTTCCCGAACATCGCACACCCAGCAACCGCTCGAAGGCCCGAGAGCCTAGAGCTGTTCATCCCGAGTGCCCTGGCCCCATACGTGACCGCCGCGATTCCACCACCACGAAAGACTCTTGCGAGCCCTTTCCTACGATGTTTCAAAGCCCTGCAGCGATCGGCCCGCCTCCGAACTCCCAATGCACGTTTCCGAAGAACAGTTTTCTTCCTCCGAACCTGCCCGTCGAACTCGTGCACCAGGTTCTTGACCGAGTCAAAGGCCCTGAAGCGATACTTGGCCAAGGCTCTCTGGAGTCTGTCGGCCAGCTTGCAGCAGGAAGCAACAATCTGGCACTTCTTGCGTGGGGCCACCATTCCATTGGCCTCCACCCTGGAACATAATTGTGGCACAGCTGCCGAGAGTGTACATTCGACGAACCGCATGGGCCCCATCGCTTCAATCGTGATGTCGCCAACCATGACATAGAGCCCCAGGGAGGCCCAGTTCTATTTCATGAAAACCAAAGCTTTATGTAGCACCACTCTCAGCAAGGTGGTTGCGAGCGTGCATCCTTCTATGATAGACCGAGTGATCTGCACAGCTTCTGACGCGCCCTCTCTAATCTCGATGCGCCGTGGCCCACCATGCACTTTCAACAACAGACGAATGCGGCGAAGATTGAATCTGTACTTGACGCCCGCCCGCCATAAAACATCATGAGGGATCTGTTCGTAGCATTTCTCCATTTCGATTAATGCCGATGCTGCTGATGTTCCTATAGCTTGTGCTGCTTCACCTACTGCTGCTTGTTGCCATACTGCCCGCTCGCAGCTTTTCCCTCTGGCCCCGAAGATGCATTCGAGTTGACGATCTGCTCCCCATTGCCTTGCTTTCTGCCTAAGCTTGCCTAATATACGGATTGGCGTTGCTAGAATCCCGATCGGTCGATATCCACCATCCGGCTTCTTCGGGAAAGCCAACAGCACATGGTCGCGCTGCTCTGGAATCAAGAGGCACGCCTCTATGCGCGCGAGAAACTGGCCATGCACTGCGAGCGCGTCGCCGCTCAAGAGCTTGAGCGAAGCTGGGCTCCACCCGTCAATGCCGACTGCCGTGTTCTTTCTGAACTGCCTTAGGACTCCTCTAAGTTGGTCCACTGTGGGCGCTGGAGGGGGCTCTCCTAGAGGAAGACCGAGATGTTCAGCATTTAGACTAGACGGTTCTCCTTCATGCCATATATGTTTCCATTCATCAAGCAAGGATTCTACCACATCTACTTGCCCCGTGGGTCCCCCTTGGAGTCCATGAGGATCTGGCGCCCATCCGATAGGCCCCTTCGTGTATTGATATAAAGCCCCCCCTTTCCTAGCGATAGACTCCTGCACCCATTGCCTCCAGACCTTAGTCTTAGCCCTAGTGGAACAAGACTCCACGACTGCGGCAAACTCCTGGACCTGGTGCCCGATGTCGAGCAGGTCGTCCAGGCTGACTCCCTCTCCTAAGCACGGCCTCGAATGAAACGCCTGCCAGCCTGGAACTTCAATCAAGTGAGGCTGAACGCCGACTATCTTGTCGACGAGGTCATGGACCCCGCGGGGGCCCCATTTGCGCCCCCTGCCCCTCAGATACCTCAGCTCCTCCACCCAGACGGCCAACTTACGAAGGGCTCTCGAGGCGTTGGTGCACCTGGGGTAGGGGGCCCTTCACGTACTCCAAAACTGGCTGTGATACAATGCGGTACCCGTGGCCTCTGCCGACGCACGGTGCACGCTCCTCTGCGTCGAAGCCGAACGTGTCACAGAGCTCGTGCTCCATGAGGCTGCAAATGTCTGAGTAGGTCAAGTTAAACTCGCTAGCCGTCGGCCTCGAGTCGAAGTCCTGAAGCCTACCAACGATCGAGCT